GTGTTATGACTAGTGAACATAAAATATAGGACAAATATAGTTACTGAAAAATGTTATATTTCAAAAATTTCATGTTTTCACTAGTAAATTTCTAACAATTTTACTCGATGTATATATAAGAACTTATGTGTTTACGCTTCTCTTTTGTGCTTTATACTTCTGCCTATCTCTACACTTCTACATAGAATCACGCTTTTAAATGCATTGGTGTCGGCAATGTGTACACGCACGATTATCACCGACGACATGTATTCATCACGGTTTCGGCCATAGCTGGTAATGATCAGCTCAACTTCAGTCGACGGTGACGTAAGGACGACTTTTGAATGCGGTGTCTGACGACAGTTGCCGACGGTGGTGGCCGGAAAAAATGTCAAAGGGGAGCATGTGTTTGGAAAGAGGACATGGGAAAGAGAGAAGTTTTTTGTTAGGGGTTTTTAAGTAAATTTAAAATCTTAGGGCTGTAAATAACACATTAAATTATGGTTTTTAAGGGTTGTATGTTCGAATCATAGTAATGATATATAAATATGTGGGAAGTTTTATCGTACCTAGGGTAAATTTAGTGATATCAAATATTCCTAGTAAGAAAACGGTATCTAAATCTTTAATTGACCAGATTTTGAGACATTATATTATACCCTAACTCTTAACAATTAAAATCCAAGTCTTAAATTCACTAATCCCTATACACAAAGTTCAACTTAAATAAAAAAATAATATATGGTTATGATTCATTCAAATAGATGATATATCTTAGGGTTTAGGATTTAGATAATTAGGACATATAGTTCACTCATTAATGGTTAGTGTATCTTATCATGGCCCAAAATCTTGTTAAATCGAGGTCTAAATAGCTTAATTTATTTTTGTGCTATGGGTATGCGTTATCTTAGATTTACCTTCGCTACGATAGAAGCCACCATAAATATGGTTTTATCTTCAGTGCACTCACTTTTTTTGTGCATGTTATGTGTCCACCTCCAAATGGTCATTCTGAGCAGGCAATTCATGTAAAACAATGTCAAACGTCACTTGTGATATGATGGACAAGAAAATACATGAATTTTTACAAAATCACTTAAAGCTTACCTTCATTAGAAGAATTTATGGTTAAGTGATTTAATGTTTAGGTTTTATGATTCATGGTTTAGAGTTAGGATTTAGAATGGAAGGTTTAGGGTTTACGATAATTCAACGATTAATTGTGATCCAGTGTTATATCATCAATTTAAACTAATGCTTTCGACTAAAATTCAAAGTTTGATGTTTTTTACTAGTTTTAGAGTTTGGTACATAGTATGCACTCACAAAAATTACTCCATGCATATATAGTCTTGGTTTTTTTTTTTTTTTTACAAAATACTCTTAGTTTGTTGGAACTTAAGAAACCATAAAAAAATATTATAATTTATAAAATAACGTGTACTATTGTACAATGTAATTAAATTCTACATAGTAAGAACTTTAGGGTATGTCGCTTCTGCCAGATGGTTTACTAATTCTGACAAATGTTCCACCGCTTCTGGGAACGATCGACCAAATGATACCGTTACCTTCTACTTACATTGGGAAAATGATGAACCATAGAAGACCAATAATACGAAATCGTTTTGTAGTAATGCAATATCCTATCACTCGTGGGCAACCAAATCTCTACGCAGATCATAGGCATAAACAAAAAGAAATAACATCCTCTTTTAACACTTATGGAATAAAAACTCATAAAGACAAGATCATATGAGATTTATGGACGTTGAAGATGATATTATTGTACAACATTCATAACAACAATAGCAACAAAGTTGATCTATTACAGGACAACTGTAGAATTAAAACAAGCAAACTTATTATTTTAAGGAAAGAAAAATTTTGATCTATTACAGGACAACTGTAGAATTAAAACAAGCAAACTTATAATTTGAAGGAAAGATGAAAATCTATATAGAGTAAGTCAATCTTATAAATAAATATGTTGAACATTTTTCAAATCTACAAGAGAACAATAACACAAGAAATTTATCATCTATGTTCCAGTTTTTGTACTATTTTTAACTCTATTACCAACAAGCATATTTATTAATATCGAACTCCTCTAATTATATAAGATTATTTCATTAGCAATGGTTCATCAGGTTGACCGGTTTTTAGAAGCAGTAGACTAGACTGTTTTCTAGAAAAGTGATCGACCTCTTAGTGGAAAAAGTAGATGATTCTCCTAAAAAGTGGTCCAATGCTTATTGAAAGAGGTAGACCATTTTCTTGAAAAATGGTCAAATGAAACGCCAAAACATATATTATGCTTAAATGACATTTGATTGAAGGCCTATCATTAGTGTAGTTTATCACGGTGGTAAATAAAGTGATTGATGACTTATAAGTTATTGTGATTAGGAAAAAATATCTACTTTTTTCAAGAAAGGGGAGTGGGCTTTCCGCTTGGATAAATACAATTTAATATCCAAACCTTTTATTTTAAACAATATAATAGCCAAATCTTTTCGAAAACAATCTAATATCCAAATCGTCAACTTTCTGTTTGTTTAACCGTTAGTTGACACTTCAAAAAAGTTCGAAGTACGACACTTCATCAATATCCATCGATATCTTCTCTGAAAAACCACCAACATATCGTAGTTCCAAACCCGAGAAATCCATGAATCCACCATGATGGTATAGAATATCTAAATATTCAGTCATCTGCAATGCCAAAACAAGAAACAAAGTTGTATTGTGACAATTTTCTCTAAACAAAGCTTTTTTGAAGTGTCAACTAACGGTCAAACGAACGGAAAGTTGATGATTTGGATATTAGATTATTTTCGAAAAGGTTTGACTATTATATTATTTAAAATGAAAAGTTAGGATATTAAATTGTATTTACCCCTTTCCGCTTTTAGATTGTGGACTAGATCGAGTGTTCCCTTTACCTTTCCGCCTCCTTCACAGTAGCAATTAGCAAAGCAAGAAAGAATATTGAAAAGCCGTGAAGGAAGGACCCCAAAGGACAAACCCCCAGCAAAAAGCATCCATATATAGATGGAAAAACTAAAAAGTATTGATCCAATTCTTCATGCGTAATCACTTTGATCAAGATGTATAGATTCTTCAAGAAAATTCAATTAAAAAAAATCGCCTTCGATTCTGAAGTGTCGAAAATTGGTTCATCTAAATGACTCGGTCAAGTTATTGGAAAAAAGTACATCATGCATAAGCACTTATATTATTTTCTTGCAAGCCTTTTCAATGAATATCATAATTGACGTAAAGTTGAGTAATGTTACATTATATGTTGTAGTTATATCAACTATTAATATCGGATGTTCAAGAAACCTCTTGATTGAAATCTCTCGTTTCATATAAAAAATTATATAATCCCAATAAATTGACATATGAGTAATTAATAGAGCCCTTAATATAAATTAGGAAAAATACACATATATAGCTATAACTATCGACTTTGTGACAATAATAACCCAATTTCTTAGAAATACACAAAATGCGCAATTTCGTCTAAAACTTTAACTGAATCATTTTAAATGCTGACTGGACTAACGCTTTTGCTGACTTGGTGATATTTAATTAAAAACATTGTCAGTTGTAGTTAGCTAAATTCATTTGCACACTCATAACTATCGACTTTGCCAGGTGTATTATGTCATTAAAGTATGATATGACGTCCACGTGGCATGAGATGTCGAGTTGACACTAACGTGTGTGTCCACGTGGCATCCTTGCCAGCTTCTTGTTAATGTAACAGACAAAATCTCTAAATACATTAACGTTTCTAACGAAAGTGGCTAAATTTTCCAAACATGTTTCCAAAATATGGAAATTTGGTGTATTTCTCACAAATTTGTTGTTATAATGTTATTGCCACAAAGTTATTGCCACCTACACAGTGCCTCCTTATATTACCGGGTATCCAATATAAGTCTATTAGGTATCCACATCAAAAAATTTATTACGGGCATCCAAAACTAATTTCATATTATTTTTATATTTTCATTTCTAACTTTATTCAATCCAACTCACTTTTATTTCATTGTACCTACATCAATGCAATTCACTTGCAATTGCATATATGATAGTTTAAATGACTTTATAATAAAAGTGATAAAAAATCAAGAGAGAAAAAATAAATTATTGCTTTTTTTATTTTCTTATGTGGCTTGCATATTCAATTTCATTTAATGCAAGCTTGCATTTTTGCAAGTGCCCACTACATTGGTGCAATTCCCTTTGCAATTTCAGTTTGAGTGTCATGTAGGATTTGCAATTGAGCAAATACTATTGATGCGGATGCTCTTAGTAAGTTCGTCGTATATTGTGGGTTGGATTTTTGCTTTATAATTGATGCATTCTTGATATGATTGAGAATTTTATTTTTTTATTTACTATTTTGAGTTTCTAAATATTAGGAATATTCACCATAAATATGTTAGTTAAGCTCATCGTTGATTATGAGTTGGACTTGTGATGCATGAATATGATTAATTAATTAATTATGAATATGACTTAAGTCTGCTAGTTAATATTAGAGCCGGTAATGTGAGTATAAAAAGTTTATATTCAAACAAAACTACAAAGATATTACCTTTTAATCATTGATATTATAATTTTATTTATTAATAAAATTATAATTTAAATTTTATTGTATTTATAAAATAAAAAAGTTGGGTCGCATCTTTTTTGTAGAACAGAATTTAAAGAGTTGATTCGACGGCTCGAGTTTTAGAAGCATACTCTTCCATACATGGTAACCATGCATGTTGTACTTGTCGTAAGCGAGTTGATTTGGTGTTTTAGGAACATAAGATCCCTGAAGCCGATGTCATGATGATAAGTCCCGATTAAGATGAACATGTTCCTTCTGAATTCTCTCTCTCTCTCTTTCTCCACCAAGCAAATATGGAAAGAACACATTTTCAATTCATGACGTGTAAATGAAAGCCACCTGCCCAGGCCCGGATAGTATAACAACACTATTTTTGTTGTTATAATAACAATAGGATTCATTAAGGGCAAAAGGATAAATTTATACCGAAAATAATAAAATAAATTAAAATTCAAACCCACCCTAATCCCACATCAGACCTCATCTTCCTTCACCCCATCGAGACACATTTTCCACGCCGCCCCGCTTTTTCCCCGCCGTCCCTGCTTCTTCCCCGCCGTCGATGAAGGAATTATTGAGGTTCTACTGATTCATCAACACGAAGATGATGGGCGGGTGAGAGTCGTCGCCGCCGACTTGTAGATCCAAGCTGTCACTGAAGCCGAAGTTGTTGCCGGCAATTCGTCCGTCCCTTCTCGCCCTGGCTGCGGCTCTCGTCGCCGTCGTATCTCTCATCGTCACCGTCTCCGCCGAGATCAAAACCCTAGTTCGATCAAAACCCGGCGGGGGGCAATTGCGCACTTCCCTTGGAGCTCCGTTTTGCGGCGACACTCCGGCGACATATCAGGAGATGTTCGCTAGTGTCGTGCATAGTCTTATTGACGATCTGGTCCAGTACACGCCAAGCGTGCTCCCGGATGAATTCACCTACAGCCGCACGATTCCAAGTTTTGGCGATCGTGGTGGTTGTATCTATAAATCATCTGGACCGCTTCATCCCTTGCCAATTAATCTATTTGCCGCTTTAATCCTGTGATAATAAGGAGCGGAGACTGTAGAGATTTCCCCCAAAACCCCACCAATTCCACAAATCATGAATGGAATGGAGTTCAATCCATTCAACAGAAAACTATATTTTGACTCTTTGAGGGCCTCCAGCGCAAAGCAAAAGGAAGAGAGGTTTGGAGTAGAGTAATGCTGGTTGGGAGTTGGTTGGGTGGTGAGAGTTTAGGTGTAGGGTATGAAACTAAGATTGTAAAATCGTATTGTAGGTGGATAGCATATTCTGGTGACCGACGATCAGAAAACTTCTAATGCCGATCACAAACGTGATAAAAAAACCACAAAAAAGCATACCAGAAACCTCCTAATGCATACCACAAATTCTCTAAAACAAACCAGAAACACCATAAACCAAACCACAAATATTTTGAAAGCACACCATAAACCTCAAAATGCAAACCACAAACACGTTAAAGCAAACCAAAAAAACAAACCAGAAACGTCCTAATGCAGACCAAAAATCTACTAAAACAAACCAGAAACCCCGCAAAGCAAACCACAAAATTATAAAAAACACACCAGAAACCTCATAATGCAAACCACAAACACGATAAAGCAAACCACATAAACAAACCAGAAACGTCCTAATGCAGACCAAAAATCTATTAAAACAAACCAGAAACCCCGCAAACCAAACCACAAAATTTTTGAAAGCAAACCAAAAACTTCTTAATGCAAACCACAGAGACGATAAAGCAAACCACAAAAGACATACATAAATACGAGAAACCAAACCATAAATCTCACAATGCAGACCATAACATCCGGTGGTCGTTGACCGTTGACCGGTCAACGAAGTTCATTGAACGAACTCCGATGACCGTCAGTGAGCAGATTCCGACACCGACAGGCATTTTCCGGCCACGATGACTAGATTCCGACGCCGGTAAGCATATTCCGACACCGGTGAGCATATTCCGACGCCGGTGAGCATATTCCGGCGACAATGAGCATATTCCGGCGACAAAATAGCATATTCCGGCGACCGGTGGCCGAATTCCGACGACCAAGATTTTGGACCGAAAATAAAAAATATTTTTTAATTTTTTTTATTTAAACATATTTTCATAATGACAATTATATCCCTGCTTTGATTTTACACTAGGTCAACTCATCTAATAAAAAGTCATCACACCCCTAACTTCCTATTGGTTCGGGACTAGTGTTGTTACAATAACAACACAAGGGATGTTGTCATAGTATCTAGTCCCCACCTGCCCACTCTTTCCCCATATAGATAGATAGATATTTCACTAGTCCAACGTCACACCAATCCTTGTCATCTAGCTAGCCACTCCTTGGACGAATATTGAACCACTTAAGCAGCAAGCTCCAACTAGCTAGATTAGATAACTTCATTATTGGTTGCAATGTGTTTACAGCTAATACAATACGTCCGTCATATTGCCCATTTATGGCAAGATGGGTAACCACGCTAGTCTTAATTAGAGACCCAATCTAACCGTGGTTGTGGAGACCATTGACGTCAACAGTGGTCAACGTCCCAAGGGTGTATGTAGTTGAGTGGTGATTGATTTCAACTACATGCTATGCTATGCTATGATCAATATACTCACAACACAATCGATATGAACTCTACTATGAATTCTATGGTTCTCGTTTCAAGGCAGTCAGCGAACCATTCTATCGAGATCACCACTGGCCACATGATCATGCAAAGTCGATACAAATATGGTAACCCACGAAGATTGCTGACGATGCACATCACAAACACCTCGGCAAGGACTTGATTGCCCAAGTTAAAGTTAGACGAAGAATATCTACTCTACTTGATCTCAACTCGAGTTACTTGATATCAGAAATGACTATGATACATCTTTACCAAAGCCTATCCTTGCATGATAAATGAATACTATACCTGTTAAAAAAAAAAAAAAAAAAACGCTACCAGACATGATAAAGACTCCCGGGCAAAAATATGATAAAGACTCCCGGGCCCGCCAAAATGTTATACAGAGTTCCTCATAACTAGTATCTAAGCCTCGGACCCAAGCTGCGAGCTTCTCCCTCCTGCAACTCATCTTCACCTGGGCACTGCATCAATAACTGATTACGAAAAGGAAAAAATGCACCTCATCCCTTTACTCATGCGATGAATCTCTTACGCATTCCTCAATTTTGCAGCAGCAAGTGCCCTTGCCAGGGGAATGTCATCATCGATTATAATTCCACGATCCCAATTCCAGTCTATTGGTTCCTCTGTTTGTTGTTTCCTTCTGCAGTAAACAATAATATCGCTAGATGTCTCTTCGGACACAATATCAGCAGACACGGAATTAACCCTTCTGAGTTCTGAACCACACATGCCCGCATCATTGTCATCAGTAAGAGAACTAGCCTGGCTACTGTTTCTCCCAACTTCAAGCTTCCTCCTCTTCTTCTTCTTTGATCCACATTCAAGCAAGGAACAACTTGTATCTTTGTCATCCTCCTCTGTTACTCCGGACATCTGGTGATTTTCCTTCCTTCTGTGAGATCCAAGAGCATCGGCTTTCTTAATTGAAGCGGTTTCATCAACCAATGGCTCCTCAACTTGAGCATCAGTTGATTCAAGATTATCCTTCGATGCGTGTAAATCACGAAGACCCTTCTTCTTCCTAGTATAAACCAATAGTATCCTGTTTCTCGCTGCCGAAGAGCTAATAGAATCAACTGACTGTTCCCTAGTTCGTTCAGCAATATCATTCCTTCTAACAGGAGATTGCATGCTTCTTTTCTTTCCAACAGCAGTATTGCCACCACAGCTTTCAGCATCTATGTCATCAGCAGCGACTCGGTCTGGCTGTGAACAACCTTGCAGCCGTCTGCTAGTTCTCTTGGGTCTAGTCCTTTTTTCAGTATTGCTGCAATACAGAAAATAAGCCAAGTGAAAATTAATGAAGCAGCTCACCATTGAAACAAGTTGAGTACAAAACAGTCCTGATTGCGGACCAACATTACTAAGGGTTTTATTTCTTTCGCAATGCATCAACTATATCTGCTTATTTTTAAGTGTTAGTAAAAGTGAAGATAAATGGGCCAAGTAAGGTTTCAGAAGAAGTGGGGTTAATAGGAGATATTTTTAGTAATACAAAAATGTGATTCTAGATCATGCGACTAATAAAGAAGCTGGTGAGTTTGGGACATGACTAGTATGTTTATAACTTGTTAAGAATAGATTGTTATGTGAAAGGGGACAATGGTAGAACTAGAACTTAGTGAGCTGGCGTTTCGATTTCAGTAATTTACACGTGGAATTATGCTTGTTTCAGCCCCCAAGTCCACTTGGAACGCCACTTTTTTTAGCCAACACAAAGTCACAGAGACACCATAATGCTACAAGCAACTGTTTGTTTAAGTGTTTAATTGAGGAGGCAACGTACCGTGGAATAACCTCCTTGCTCGTTGTGGTTGATGGTGTTTTTCTCCTGCAAATAAGAGAAGCCATGAGTCATCAAGAAATATTTTCACTTGCTAAATCAGACCACAAAACCGTAGTCCTTTACCTTGGTTTTCTTTTTGATTTTGCAGATTCATCCACATTCTTAGCCTGAGGTAGCAATCCTATCGAGGTTGCAGCAAAGTCCTCTGGACCGAGTGCTGGGCGCTCTTCCTCGCGGTCCACAAAATTGGTTATAAGAGCAGCCTTCCGAAGTTTTCTGGCTTCTTCTAGCAAAGGCACTGCCTCAGGAAATAGAACCTTCCACCTTCTGTTTTCATAAATAGATCCATTAAGATCGGACTCAAGAACTCATGCAGATAAACCAGAAAAGAAGTGAGCTGAGAGCAAAAGAGACATTATCTGGTGCATTTGTTTTGAAGTTTTACTACAAGTGAATAAAAGACGTTTGACTGGGTTTTAGAAAAGCTAGATTTGGATTTGTATTTCAAAAGTGGACGAAGTTCCAAATGAACATTTTATGAGTGAGGTGACTTTTTAAGGTGTAGAGTTGTTTCAAAAATTGGACTAGGAAATTATATCTTTTAGCTTTTAAGCCAAAAAATTTCAAGTTACTTAATTTTTAGCCAATACGCACATCCATAGTTTCTTGCAGCAGAGTATAGCACCAAAACATATACCTCATGCACTCATTATCAGTTCGACCAGGAAGATGATGAGAAATCTTAGACCAACAATGTCCATGCTCTTCAAAAGCCGCCTTTAATTGCAAGTCCTCCTCTTCACTCCATGCACCACGATTAAGGGAAGGAGAGCAAGAATTATGCCACCTGTTAGAGGAAAATAAAGAATTACGCAATTTGTTTGATTTGAACAAATTAACACGCATTTTAACATTACCTCTCTCGACATTGCACATCTTTTCGACCAGGCACAAACTGAGCAACTTTCTTCCAATCTTTTGGACCAAAAAACTTCACAGCTAATTTCAATCTTTTGTCTTCTTCTGCTTTCCAGGTCCCTTTACCATTTAGGCGAAGACTTTTCTTCCACCTAGAAAGAACCGAGTATAGTACAGAAAGACATCAGGTAATAGACCGACTAGAAAATACAATAGCAGAGTTCTATGAATACAAGGACAGCTGCAAGCAGGCATCAATAGCTACTGAGTACTGACTGCATTAAAATAAAAGATCGAAGTTTAAAACAGTTTATTAGTAGACATTCTTCTAGGAGATTATTCCTTCACACGAACAGAACAGCCTATGCTATTTGTTTCATTGATTTTGCAGCAGCATCTAGAAGTTACTGATTTAGATGTTTCACACATATTCATCCCATGGTAAAGCATGACAGATAGAGAAAAGAAGACATGGCCAACAAGTCAGAAAAATATTTTATGGCACTCTCTCCAGTCATTTTAACCATCAGCCAGGATACTAAAGCAGTAACTATGGCAGCTTGTCACTTGCCAAGTGACAGCGCTTTCAATTTCATTCTGAAAAGAAATGATTATGTTTCATCATGACTTATTTTATTGCTATCGTTATTCGTATGCTTTCTTAATCTATCAATGGAAAGAAGCATTGCACCAAAAAATGTGATTTGGAAGGAAATCTAATAGGAAGGAAACAACTTAAGCAATCTTCGATATATGTTCCTTCGAGAGTCTAAAACTGACCTGTTCGAGCATTGTGTACCAGTCCGCTCTCTCAGAGTTGCAGCCACAGACTGCCAGTTACATTCACCAAATTTTTGGACAGCAGCTCTAAGTTGGGCATCCTCCTCTTTTGTCCACTGGCTCTTCAGAACACGAGGATTTAAACTCCTCTGAAAACGTTCCAAGCACTGAAATGGAGTTCTGTTCGTCCCCAGTAATGACGCGATCTCAGACCAATTTTGTATCCCCTTGCTACTGGTAAGAGAATATAGAAGTTTCTGCTCTTGTTTGCTCCATCCACTCTTATTGATAAGCGGGCATGATGAATTCAACCATCTGGAGAATCAATCATCTCATCAATATAAACCACGTATATGTCCAATAGGATGACAAAAGTAACAAAAGAAAATGTCAGACAGTGCAATAAATCTAGCTGACAGGGGGATTAACCATCTCGCCGACATAGCAAGGTTAAAATCCGGATGAAGAAAATGATCTGTCAAGTTGTAATATCAGAAACCTGTGTTACACTGCAAAAGTCATATACCAAAAGTGTCCTTTTCCGAATGAATAAATGGTATATTGTATGTCGCTACAACTATAACAATAAGAAGTCTAGCATGAAAATGAAGCCTGATTAGCACAGAACCTATGATATCTTAGTCACACTCTACTATAACAAAAAAATCAGTGCACTGATGACATTTTATTGGGGTACTTACAGGTGTGATGAAACATACCAATCTGAGTAATATGGATTCCAATTCAACTAAATCTGCTATAGTGAGAAAACAATATAACCTTGACATTTTATTATGACATATTTAAGTGTTTTCACAAACAAATAAAGAGTTGAAGAACCTCTGCTTCTTATATCACAATCATCTCTTTGATGCACATTGGAAGCAGATGAAATTACAGCAATATTTGGTTCCGTGGAATTCATCACTCATCAAATGATGATTACATGGATTGGTTCAAACTTCAAACTCAGCATCAATTGGGTTCGTAAATTAATAACTGTGCACCTCTCCAATAAGCAAGTACAGAAAAATCATTTAGCAGTTAACACATTATCTCATGTACTTATAACTGGCAAGACTAGGCACAAGGTTTTGCTGATTCTATATGTAAGCCTACAGCTGCTTCTATACCAGATCAATTACTGGCAGATATTCATATCTTGATTCCCAAGTTAATGTCAATCTTCTTTACAAGATTTCATTCCTCCCCACCACTTCTAGATTTAGAACTTCACACATGTGCAGGGAGCTTTAAAATAAACAACAAAAGCTTCAAAACATAGAGATTGCTTACCGTGCTTGACATTCAGCACCAGAGCGACTTTCCACGTTCATAAAGGCCAACTTATCCCAGTCAACCTTAGGCAGAAACTGCTTCATCATTTGCGGTGTAATCTCCAGATCTTTGATGGACTTAAGGATGCTGTCCAAGTCATTTGTCTGACCGCCAGATCCTGAACTACTATAATGAAACATAAGTCAGGAAACCATTTCAAAGTGCAAACTACAAGACAAAATTTACAGGATACAGAAGTGTGAAAAGAAACACAGGATATCCTATTTTAATGGACTCTCAGTGTTGATGAAGAGTTGAAAGTTGCAACAAAAGAGAGCAACAGCTAATAACACTGAGCATACCTGACTTGCTCCATTGCTGCCTGCGACAACATTTCTTGATATTGTTGTTCCAATCCCTCCTTCAGTTTTTTGTCTTCACGTTCGTCCCACTTCCTTTGCTCAAATGAAAAAGGGAACATCTCCAAAGCTGCTCTGTAATAAGGAACCTGAGAATTCTCCACTGGGCCACTGCATATGGCAGATGCCTTCGTATCCTTAGCCTACACCCAGAACATTGCTGTTAGAACAGAGCACATGTAAGACAGGGCGATCCCCAGAACTTAATAATGACACCATTGCAGTAGGCATTACATTTGTTTATACCATAATCTTTAACCAGGCATCCATTATAAGTGTTAACTCCCTTTTTGCAGTACATATGGAAGCACACTATGCATGGAACTTGGAAAGACCATAAAAGCGTACAATGTTTCAGAGCTTGCAACAGAAACTTATAATGTGCCCTGAAAACTGCAATCAAGTGCTCCATAACATCCAATTTGAACTTATGGCATTGAGGGATGACAAGAGAAAGACTGAAAAAAAAAAGCAAGACAAGCTTCAAAAGCATTCACAATGCCGAAGATAATGATAATATGGAAGTACTAGCGTCTAGCAACAATATGGAAATATAAACAAAGCATACAAAAAGACAGTATTGATTACCTTTGAATCTTTGGAATTGGTAGTAGGTTTTGTTGATATCAACTGGATTAGAGGATTCTTGCCCTGAGCTAGATTACGTCCTGTATTTTTTCTACACGAAACCTCAAGACTCTTGAGCATTTTCACACGCTTACTCAATTCATCGTTCTCCTCCAGTCTTGCTTCAATCTGACACAACTTGGCCTGAATTAAGTTCTGAAGCGCCCTGTTCTTCTTAATGGCCCCAAAAATCACCTGAAAAGTCTCTGGGGATCTGAAATATTTAGTGGCCACTGTTGATGATTGACAAGCAGCGGATTGGTGGACCACAACAGAGCCAGCTGGTTGCATCTCCACGCTATCACTCAACAAATTGGCGGTGTTAGCATTGTCTTCAAAATCCTCAACCACTTGAATAGCATTAGTTTTACCCACCAATGAAATGTCAGAAACTTTGGCCTCTGAGGTGCCAATCGACGACAACGGATCCAGTTCAGATTTCTTACTCCAACTCACTTCTCCTTTTGCATCTACATGAATAAATTCGTCAAGAGTTAGTTCAACAGAACCATTATATTTAGCTCAAAAATGAGAAGAAGAAAAAGACTTGTATCCAATATCCAGAATTCCCAATTCCCTATTACTATTTCTGAATCCGATCAATTCCATTGGAACATGAAATCACACCTACTACCAACCTACAAGTTGAGATATTAAGGCACGAGATAAGGAATCAGCAGCAGAAATTGAACCTCACCGCTATCGATATATGCGGCAAAACGTCTCTGGATAGATGTTAAGGTTTCGAGATCATCTTCTCCGTCTTCGTCACTCTCCGGAGGGAGTGCACAGAGAGGCTTATACATTTCATCTGGCAACAGAAACCGCTCTCGAACGCCGCGCAGCAATTCCAGGTCATCTTCACTCCCGGGGCTGGAAGGATTGCTACCGCAGCAAATGATTGGATTGTCGTCGTCTAAGCGGTTCACATCTTTGCCAGCAATCAGGCAAGCTTGCCTGAGGCTTGCCATGTCGTCCGCAAAGTCATCGTCTCCGTCATCGTCGTCGCTACTACCATCGGAGAGTGGTTTATCCTTCTCGTCGCTCTCGATTTGAAGAGTCGGCATCGAGCTGGACAAGGTGGCGGGGAACTCGAATCAGAAGAATGAAAGGGGTGGATTCTAGGGTTTTTCGGAGGGGCAGCTAGTGATTTTTGCAGACAATTTGTGCCCTTCCAGAACAAAATGAAGGAATTTGAAATTTGGGAAGAGGGGGGCTTTTATTTTGCGGGAGCGGGGCGGCGGAGAATTCGGCCTCCCTTTAGCCAATGCGATAATAATGCGATTTTGTGGGCTCTGCAAGGAAATATGTCCCGTAGCTGGACTATGGAACTATTTACTATTCTTCCGGCCCAAGTCCGAAGAGGTAATGGGTGTTCATTGTTCAATTAAAGATTTGGGTTAATGTCTTAGGTATCGTTTGCTTGTGGGATTTGGGTGATGAATTTGGTACCCAAATCCCAATCATAATGGAATTGGCATAAGTTCATTGTTTGCTAAGGGACACAAATCCGTGGGGCCCACGGATTTGGACTCATTTTTCAGATCCAAACACGTGGACCCCACGGATTTGCAAATCCCACATTTCATTTGGAATTTGATAATGGAAGGCAAAATGTGAACAAATCCATCATGAATCTATGCCAAAAATAAACTACACAAACAATGTACTCTTCCAAATCCATAATGCAACAAATCCATCATAAATCTAAAGGTTTTGAAAACTCAAAACCCTCATTTTCAAATCCAAAAAGCAAACGAGTCCTTAGTTTGACCCGAAGTTAAGCGTAAATGACAGTTCTGGCCCCATTTTTCAAATAAGATATTTATGGCCTAATTTTGAAATTATTAGACAAATTTGGCACGATACTTGTGTTGACTGTCAATATTAATGGTCAAAACATTTATTTCGTCAATGACTCAGCATCCAATGATGAAGTTGTAGTGATGTAGTAAATGACAGTTCTGGCCCCATTTTTCAAATAAGATATTTATGGCCTACTTTTGAAATTATTATACAAATATTAATGGTCAAACATTTATTCCGTCAATGACTCAGCAACATGAGGAGGAAGAGGATCTGTTGGAGGAGATCGACTGCAACTATCAGGATCTGGCGGAGAGACGATGGTGATTGACGACGACAGCGCGAGGACGTACCTACGGAGGATGGTGTCAATCTCTGCAATAATGACGTCGAGAGTGACGAAGCAGATCAAGGGTTGTGGTCACAAGGAATGGCATCGATCATGACGACGATGGCTTCGAGGGCGATGTATCTCTGGGAGATTGAACAGAGGAGGTCGATGGTGGGAAGATGAAGGGCGCGGCGACGGAGGCTCCGAGGGCGCGATGTTTCTCTGGGAAACGACCACAATCAAGGCGGCGGCGTCGAGGCTGTGGGAGGTTGAACGGAGGAGGTCGATGGTGGAGGGAAGATCGACGGCGCGGCGGCGAAGGCTCAAGGAAGATGAGTGGCGGCGGAATGGGGAAAGTAGGGATTTTGACCGGAAGTCAAGAGAGAAGTAGGGGTTTTCCCCGAACAATTTGTTGCTATGTTTTCATATTTTTTTCTTTGGAAAATTAAATATATAATTATTTAATGATGTGGTGATCAAACATCAGCCACGTCAGCAGTATTTTGCTGAGTCATTAACGGTAAGAATGTTTGACCATCAATATTAACAGTCAACATAAGTATCAGGCCAAATTTGTCTAATAATTTCAAAAGTAGGCCATAAATGTCTTATTTGAAAAATAGGGCCAGAACTGTCACTCACGCTAAACTTCGGGCCAAACTTGGGTATTAACCCTAAAGATTACTATGGGGTTGGTTTTGGTGATTGTTTGATTGGGATAGTTACAATACATGTATTGTTCACAAAGCATTGTTTTTTTGAATTTTCTGCACAAAACAATACATGCATTGTTTGCTTGATGTGATGGAAACTATCACTCAAAATGAGTGATAGTACTATCTCTAATAAAACTTGAGATTGTTGAGATTGTTTTGATGAGATTGTTTGGTTCCCTTTTTGTTCCAATTATACCCCTAGTTATATATATATATATATATGGTTCAGGCTAGCGTACGCCCGGGCGTACGTTAGACTACCGTACGCCCGTTTGAATTTTGCTATTTAGATAAGGAATTAACCGGAATTTTGGACATGATACTATACCCTAACCACTAATGGATAAACCCCAGTCCCTAGTTTTCTAACCCAAATCGTGAGATTCGTTTAATCTTAAAATGAAAATCAACAATAATTTCGACGAATCAGAACCGTTGATTTTCATTTCAAGATTAAATGAATATTATTATTTGGGTTAGTGAATTGCGGACTGGGGTTCATCCATTAGGGGTTAGGGTATAGTATCGTGCCCCAAACTCCGGTTAATTTATTATCTAAATTGCAAAACTCAACGGGCGTACGGTAGGCTAGGGTACGCCCGGGCGTACGCTAGCCTTTGCCATATATATATATATATATATATGGTGGCTTCTATCGTACCCCGGGTAAATTCCGGGGTATGGCGTACCTTGGGTGATCTTGACCGTACGTGTGATCTCGACGGCTGAGATTAAATTTTATTAAATGATTTATTTTTTCGGAATTTATATTAAATAAAATTACAGATCAACTCATAGAATTAGTTTTTCTTTCATTTTAGTCCATTGTAAACCAAATCGGGTTGGTTCTGTTTAGTTATTGAATTGACCCAAAATCCAACCACCCTAAGAGAAAGGACACCTACCTTGCCCCACCCGCAGCCCTACCCCTCTCCTCCAAATCCCGACCTTGGACCTTCTCTCTTCTCCATTTTTCTGTTCGAATTGGGAATAACCCTGTTCTTCCTCCCTACTCTTGTAAATCATCCCAGCCGCCTCAGAAAATGGCAGCGATAATTGAACCACTCTGTTTCCCCCTCTTATTCTTCTTCGTTTTCCCGTTCTCGACTGTTATATTTCCCACCTGTCCTATGATTCCTCCCAATCGATTGTTTGAACCCTAAACTGGCCGAATATCGCAAGTAATCTCGGCGTCAAGCTGTGCAAGCATAAGCACCCCCATCCCTTTGAATGAAAACTAATTGTTGCTTGTATGAGTAATTCACTTGTGCAAACAGCTGGGCAGGTGGAGATGATTGCACTGGAGGAGGCAATGAAAGAGGCCATGGTTCCTTCAGGATCTGCTAGGGAGGTAAGAAAGGGATTTTGAATTGAAATTGCCGAAATTGATTTTCGAACTACAATGCTGTGATTTTGGATGGATCTCTGATATGGATGAGGTGTATTGTAGACTGATTTGGGAAGAGAGGTCTCGTTGTTTGAAGCGGAGGCTACAGCTGTGGAGTCTGTATTTCAAAAATTCTATTCCTACATTTTTTTACACTGAAACCGTGGGGTTTGAACTAAACAGAGACCCCGACAGGCCCAGTCCTGCTTCTATCTTCGTGGTTAACTTTGACAAGGTAAGGGTTTTGACGAATTGTGGTGACGGTTTTATGCATTGATGATAAACCGAGTTAATGTGTATAGGAATTAGGTGCTTAAGATGTCCCTTTCCAGGATCATGTGTGTTTTTGGTCCATTCTTTCAGTAGTCTTTGACATGATCTGTTGAGGAGCTTGTTTGGTGGTTTTCTTTTTCCAGGTCAGAATGGATCCGATGAACAAGGAAGTCGATCTTGATAGTTTCATGTTTAGCACAGTTGATAAGTTGTCTGAAGAAGATATGAAGAAACAAGAGGGTGATTACATTTATAGGGGGAGCAACTCAAGTTTGGTTGAGCTCAGACAAAAATTATTTGAATGGACGATATGTGACCTCTTTCATTTCACTAGTGATGCTTTTAATCATGTTTCGGGTTCTTCGCTGGTTGTTGGACGATCCTCCAGCAAATTTCGATGGGTTACTTCGTGAAGACGTGATGGGAATAAGTTTCCCGAGGCAAGTAATCTGGCCAGTTTATCTCTATTAGTTTTTATGCGAATCTCAGAGGTGGCTGTTTCTGTTGCTGCTATTTTGGCTATCTGTCTGCAATGTGAGATTACTGTAGCGGTTCCATTTCTGTTTGGAAAACTAGCCTCTGGCTGTGTACTTGTGTTTATTCGGTTGATTTCCTAGCCTCCCTCTAATAAATAAAAAAGCACACCAAAACTTGCAATCTATCCGCCAAATAATAAACGTGTCCTTAAATCGTTACCATAAAGAGGGCATTCGTTGGAAAGGAAGAAACAAAACTAAATGCTAAAATGTTTTAGCAGAACACACTATGCGACTAGATATCCTTGAGCCCTGAATTCGCCTCTTCTGGGAAGCTGCTTTCCTGAATTAGCCTCTTCTGGGAACCTGCTTTCCTCTCTTGGGAAGCTATTTTGTACTCAAGTGTCTGAGCTTCAAACCTAGGCGCATTCTGATTTGCTTTCTTGAGCACCTTGTGTCTTATGTAATTGGTAGGCTCTTTGACTAGGTACAATGCCACCTGCATTCTTCTCAAATGATTGCATGGCTGTAAGGACAGAAAATATAACGTATTAATACAATAGTTGACATAGTTTTTTAATGTGCTCGTAGAAATAAATGGGCCTAGGTAGTAGGTGATTTCTTACCCAAATATAATAGTCATCATCCCAAGTTGATCCCATCATCCACACACAAACCCAGATCCCACTATCATTCCTGTTTAGAAAGATGCATTACGTAAGACACAAATATTTTATTTTTCTAGTGAAATTATGACCAAATATACATTCTTACTTGTGTCGTTGTGTAGGAACTTCAGGAGTGGTCAAAGTAAACTCCTTGATCTGTGGTGGTGCACATGTTGATTGAACATCCTTGTGTAAGGCATCGAACAAGTCGTTCAGAAATTCGATCTACAACGTTAAAAAAGTAACCTATGAATTACAAAATTGTGTTGGAAAATATAATGCCACATAATTGAATTACAAACACGTGTATTGAAGTATGTATTCAATGGCACAAATTTTAACTATACCATTGTGTGAACTGCATTCGTACGGATTGTTTGGCGCTCTTTTGATGGGCATGAATCCAGAATGTGTACTTGTTTCTGGTCCATCAAAATTATAGCTAAATACCAGTGGATGCCTTCATCATTCATCATATCTTTCATGGGAAGACAAACCTTCACAGGTACGAGAAAACAATCCAATTAACTAATTAGTTTTCCTACATAATTCATTCAAGAAATTAAGCAGA